CTTTAACGCTGTTGTCATGTAAACTCAGTTCCATCTAAATATCATGATTAAATGTCTGATTGCTGAAACAAAATGGGAAGTCCTTCTAATCAAGCTATATCGCATAATCCTGTAAGTTCTTCAAAACGTTGTGAAGATTAATTTTTGAACATTGAAATATGGTGAATATATTCCTCAATGAGCCGAATATCAGGAAATGTTATTGGCCTTTTTAGGATGCTATTTTTCCTTAAAATTAGTTTCAAATATTTCACTGTTAGCCGGATGTACTTATATTACTAAATTATTTTATGGACTTTACCCATTTACAGTATAGGGTGGGGTTTGCTAGCTGGTTTTTCAGTAAGTACGACATGTACATACAACGAGTTTGATCACATTCAACATCAACTCACTCATATTCACACTATTAACCTAATTTAATGTTCAAACTCGATTGGATAGTTGTTTAGTATAGAGTTGTTCTTGTGACCATATTTATTTATTCGATAACGATTTTTATTTACCTAGACATTGTTTCAACGAAACAGCCTTGTGTCAAACATTGGAGTCATCCCATTTTAATCGCTATTATATCTTACAAATATAATTCCACTTTTTAATGAATCAGATTGAATTGCATTTGTTTTAAAATTATCTTTTTTAAACCCGGTCATGAAGAGATTTTATGAAGTATATTAAGCTACCGGTTTCCAAATAAATAGGAAATAACTTCTTGAGTTATTCCAGTTTGTGCATAATCGTTGAAAATGTCTTTTATCTCTCAATTTGTTTTATCTTTATATTGGTATAATAATAATATTGTCACAATCAGTATTATCATAACATTTTTCAGCTGTATATATCTATAGGATTATGAAATAGTCATTTCAAATTTTTAAATAAGTGTACATTTTAATTTCAGTCCTATTGGTAATAATTTTCACAACCATAATCGAATAATTCGCCTTGGGTGATGCAGACTTAAACTAAATGGGGAATATCCGCTCTTTAGACATTTCAAACACACATTAAGTTAATACCTCTGGTAGCTTGCATAAACTATTATTGTTTTTCAGTAAACTTTCATATTCTTACCAAGTCTTATCAGTGGCACATCTAGTAACTGAGTGGTATGTAATGTTAGGTGATACTATACTATCCTGTACTAACCTGTATTTTTTTTACTAAGAGATTTTGTTGTGTTCACCATTTCGATCACACCCTACCTAAGTACATCAACTAAATGATTTATATCCGAACATCATGTTACATGGAAAGCAACATTCGGGGTTGAAACAAGTGACGAAGAAATGCCAGTTTATTATTATTATGTATGTATGTATTCCGTTGATTTATTTTGGTTTGCACCGTTTTACAAAAAAGAAAACAATTCTAATATGATGAATTCACCGACAATTTTCATAATGAAATATAACATATTAGAAGTCCTATCATTGATATTCTGAAACTGTCATAATAACTGAGAGATTATGATTAACACTTAATAGACTAAATAATTAAGAATTGATTTTGTAAATTATTTAAATTTTATATAAAATACTCACAATTTAAGAAAAACAATTTGTGTGTTTTTCAGGAGTCATTTTATATACTTTTAATATATATATATATGTTAATCCAACCTTAACCAAGGTCATTTGCATTTTAATAATGTCACCAAATTAAATATCTAACCAATGATAATTAACTTATATAATCAATACAATAGGTCATTAGGTCGTTCGTATTGCAATTAGTTAACAAAGTAAAAATATCATTCAAAATGATGTTTTTTAATTCTTTTTTGAGAACAACCTTATACGAAAAACAATTATAATAGTTTAAATAGAGCAAAAAAACATGGTTTTTTGAAGAATAAAAATGAATTTAATCGCTGAAAAATTTCCATCATATTAAAACACAATTATATGAAGAACGAAGTATATTCTTTTCAATAATTTCTCATCAGGTTCTACAATTATAAATTAATAATCCATAAAAGAAAATTGGCCAAGTTTAAGGCAGAGTACATCATTTAAGAAACTGTAACATGTGAATCAAGGAGTGTTTGTAATATAAAATAAAGTCGAATCGTTAATGTTCGGGGTTGACTAATACATAAAATATCAACTTGAATCAGTTTATAAGTGAAATAAAATCGTAAGATAACTAATCAGAATAAATATAGTTGGCATGGGAGTGAGATAGAACAATGGGATTACAAATCAGAAATTACGTAATATATAGAACAATATGAATTAGGTCAGATAAATTAGATAGGGGTAGATGCTGAATAAATTTCTCTAAAAGGTTAGCAAGTGTGATCATAATAATAATAATAATAATGACAATGGTAAGATGTGTAGATAAAATAAGTTTAGGATATAAAAATGAACATCAATCAAATTAATGTGACCATATTAGAAAAATGATGACGATCTAATTGAAAACAATTGTTCGCTTACATATGTTGTTCTAATTTTCACAATGGGAATCTTTAATATTATAAAATGATTATTAACAAGTTGACCCTAAAGTTGGCCAGGATAAAAGGAGCGGCTGGACATATTTCTTATGGATGCAAAGCTATTTCACTTATAAACTGATTCAAGTTAACACTACATATTAGTCATCCCAACATTAACGATTCCATTTAATTTTCTATGATAAACAGCACTCCTTGATTCACATGTTACAGTTTCTTAAATAATGTACTCTGCCTTAAACTTGGCCAATTTTATATGGATTATTAATTTATAATTGTAGAACCAGATGAGAAATTATTGAAAAGAATATTCTTCGTTCTTTGTGTTTGAATAAAAATGAATTTATTAGTCTATTTTACAATTTCTCATCAAATGTATACAACCCTAAAATTACAATTACTAATATAAATATAATTATAAACAAATGTTTAGCCTACTTTAGTTTGTCAAGTGTAGTTAAGTGTTTGAAAAATAGTAATTCAGAGTAGAACGGATGTTATAGTTACCAGTGTTCATAATCAAGATAAAAGAGATTATATAAGGGTAATGAAACTAATAAGTGATGAGTTAATCGCTCAACATGATAAAATAAACCAATATATGAACATGAGTAAGATTATGTATGAGATGAATATCAGAAGACGACAAAGATATAAGGTTAAGTTTCAAAATTAATAAAGGTTAATAGATGAACTTCCAATCATCATCCTAGAGGAAAGTTAACCACACTTTTTGTCTGTTGATATAGGTCAGGTGGAGAACGTTAATGGCGATCAAGTTATAATAATTACTGAAAAAATAATTGTAAAGTAATCATAATAATGATGATAATCGTTTGTATGTGTGTATGAGAAAAAGAGACTAAATTGATAAGGGGTCAAACGTTCTGTTGAATAATGTTAGAATAATCAGGCTAGTTGTAATAAGCGTAAATCAGGAATGAAAATATGACTAAAATAAATGGTATCGTGATAACTACAAAATAAAGATGTGCTCGAGCAAGCAAAGCAAATAGTAACTTTCAAAATGGAGAAAAGGGACAAGGGAGAGAACGTTAGTGGCGAAACTGTCACAACGTCAGTACCAAGTAATCCACAAGTTCCTCGTGTACGTATAGACGGACTGAAGCGACAAACAACGTTTGTTTCTTTCACTCAAGATCGAGTCCTCCTGGATATGTTCAGAGATTATCTCTGATGTTATCTTCTCCGTTCTTCCAAAGTACGTAGTGAATAGGTAGATACGATTTTGGGTAACTAGTTGTATATGTGATTATCAAGTAGATATAGCTCAGTTTACTGTTGGCCCTTAGTCGAGGCCTTTTAAACATACTAGGAACAAACGTTTTCTTTTTTCGAACAGTGGTTTCCTACTGCATCTCATTTGCCGACTTATAACTCTGATTCATGAACTTCATGGGATGATCATTTTCGATAAATTTCTTCCGAATAATCCGCAGTTTGTTGTTGTTCAGAGGATCTTTGGAACATAATCTGGTTCACATCAGAACATTCTGACAAGTCTCCTTTCATAGTTTATAAATATTACCCTGTACAGAAAGTCGTACAATAGGTGATTAACTCTGAAAAATTTGTTGTATTTTGGTTTTGATGCTCGAATATCAATTTAAGATTAGACTTAGCCAGATTTAAACGTCTAGGTACATCATTACAATGATCTTGTTTACTGCATAGAATGAAAATATATTTCAAATACGGAGATATTTGCGTCATTGAATCATTCACTTTTCTATTTATACAGTGAGTATAACGACCAATAATTGGCCCAATGAACTCATCATCCCAGCACCTGCTTATCTATATTTTCCAATAAAGTGCAACTGAGCATTTTGGTTAAAGTTAGACATCAACACCGTTTGTTGTCGACTCACTGGTCTATAGGTTAGGCGTTCGCACGCGAAACTGTTAAGCCATGGGTTCGAATCTCACGAGCGGAAACATGGATGCTCACTGCTGAGGGGTCCCATACTAGAACGAAATGGCCATCCAGTGTTCCCAGGTTTTCCACGGCGGTCTAGCTTTAATTGACTCATGAATTCAACTATTAAAAAGTAATAATTATTTTAGGTTATTTTCAAACAATTTAATCTTATCAGTGTGCTTACAAAGTATCTGTAAGTACTCGTTTTGTATATCTTAACGACGCATCATGTGTTAATTAGTGTTTAAATATTTAGCATTTGTAAATATTCTGTAGTACATTTATTGGAGAATATTATTGAAATATATGTACAATCTACAGACTTATAATTCCTAAGTGAATAACATTGTAAATATGAGTCACCATGTAAACTTGAAGCTGGTCTTGTGTGTGTTGTTAACTAACAATTAATGAATATTCGATAATAGAATTAATAATTTTCCTACTATACATTCACCTTATTATATAGAAATTTTAATAAAAAAAGAACGTGATTTGAATTGATGAGAAATTGCTACCGGTTAGAAATTTGTTTTCCAGTTATTAAATTTGAACAACAATTCTACAAAAGTTAGACTTTTATTATTTCAGATTCGACACATTCAAAAAAGAGAAGAAAACGAAAGCACAAAATTCACAGGGAGAGTTCCGATAGCACTTCTTGTAGTTCTAATCCTCTAAAACAAAAGCGAAAACCGTTAGACAAGGAAGAAGTGGTCACATCATTTAGTGGAGATCCGGTTGTTTATCCTCCATGTGTACGTCTTATGGTACTAGCATCACAATATACTCAACCAGGACAACTGTTTATAATTACAAGCCAAGAGTCAATTGAAGGCAAAGGTTGTATTGGACAGTCGTTTCATTTATGTCCACAAGCGTATTTAACAGATGATCCCGAGATAAGTGAGGTTAGTTAAATAATTACTGATAAATAATAATGCATATATTATAATAAAAAGGAATATATATATATATATATATATATATATATATATATATATATATATACGAGATTTCATAATACTTGAAGAGCTTCCAAGCAGGCGTATGATGATAGTTGTGGTGATGATCTGTCTGAATTCATTGAAAGTGTTCCCGGAGATGCATTGTGTCAGTATGGTGTAACGTGATGAAGAATAATAGGTATGTTATTGTTGAATAGTGTGCTTAAACTTACTTGGCGCCGGGACCAGGGTGATCACGAATGCCCTGGCCCCAGGTGGAGGCTCGCCATTGCACTCCGGCGTGTTGAAGCCTGCGACGATCCCTAATGGGGCTCGCTCGGACGCGTAGTTTTTGTCAGTGGGGAGGTCTTCGGATCATCCCTTTGAATAACAATATAGTTCCCTCTCAACTCAACTACTGCCAACCACACGCAAATCTAACACCAACATCTACCACACCATACACATATTCAAACGAAACAGAAAGCACCAAACTATCGCTCGAATAAACTCACCTTCACACAATTCATACACTCTACTTTCATCCCACAATATAACGACCCATCAATCATCCATAAACAGACAACAATTGCCTTCACAAATACATCATACACAAATAAATACTTACACCATTTCACTCATTCCATAAACACCAGCTCTTACACAACCCAACAGATAGACACTGGTTCACTGGTGCTACTTCGCACTAACAAACACCATGACATTGTCATTCTTCGTGCACATTTTCATCTAGCGAACTTCACACTGATCTAGTTGACTAAATAAGTTCATATGCTTGGTCATGGTTGCGTTGTGATTGTGATGGGACTATTACATTCGAAGGTAATTATCCTGTGTCACAATGTATATGTGTATATATGGGTCGTTCGTAATTCAACATTGTTAGTGGGTGTGCCTGAGTCCTCTGAATAGTGGTTGTGCAGCTACAAGGGAATAAGTAGACAAGTGTGTGGTAATGCGATGTAGTTGGAATGACTTGACAAAGCTTTGAATACGGACAGCTGACTTGAGTGATGTTGATGTTTGTGGTTGTGGTAAATGTAATCACGTATGATATTTGTGTCTAATATATATGTATATATATATATATATATATATATATTGCCCGTAGAGTGTTGTTCAGTGTGTCGCGGTCTCTGTCACTTGTTGCTGACTGAGAGGAGTGTTGTTCCCGGAGATGCATTGTTTCAGTATGGTGTGTTTGTTTTGATTTGAGGATTAGGTGTTGTGAATAGTATTAGTACATTGAGATTTGTGGAATGATGGTAATCTGTGTTTGTGTGATGTGTGTTCTACCTGATAGATGTTGTTGATTTAGCGCTATGCAATTGCCCGAGTTGCGTATGATGTTGTATATTGTCTACTGAATTGATGTGAAGTAGTATATGTGGTTGGTGTTTTTGAATCTTGTAATTGATGTTTGCGTGTGCATTTTTTTATTTGATGGTGATTTTTGTTGAGAATTGGTTTGTCGTTATAAATGTTCATGTAGTGAGAGTGTAATATGGTGATGCGAATGGTTGTGTATGTTGTTAGTGTGAAATGTTTGCTAATTGATGATTGAGTGTAATGTGTTGAAGAATAATAGGTATGTTATTGTTGAATAGTGTGCTTAAACTTACTTGGCGCCGGGACCAGGGTGATCACGAATGCCCTGGCCCCAGGTGGAGGCTCGCCATTGCACTCCGGCGTGTTGAAGCCTGCGACGATCCCTAATCGGGCTCGCTCGGACGCGTAGTTTTTGTCAGTGGGGAGGTCTTCGGATCATCCCTTTGAATAACAATATAGTTCCCTCTCAACTCAACTACTACCAACCACACGCAAATCTAACACCAACATCTACCACACCATACACATATTCAAACGAAACAGAAAGCACCAAACTATCGCTCGAATAAACTCACCTTCACACAATTCATACACTCTACTTTCATCCCACAATATAACGACCCATCAATCATCCATAAACAGACAACAATTGCCTTCACAAATACATCATACACAAATAAATACTTACACCATTTCACTCATTCCATAAACACCAGCTCTTACACAACCCAACAGATAGACACTGGTTCACTGGTGCTACTTCGCACTAACAAACACCATGACATTGTCATTCTTCGTGCACATTTTCATCTAGCGAACTTCACACTGATCTAGTTGACTAAATAAGTTCATATGCTTGGTCATGGTTGCGTTGTGATTGTGATGGGACTATTACATTCGAAGGTAATTATCCTGTGTCACAATGTATATGTGTATATATGGGTCGTTCGTAATTCAACATTGTTAGTGGGTGTGCCTGAGTCCTCTGAATAGTGGTTGTGCAGCTACAAGGGAATAAGTAGACAAGTGTGTGGTAATGCGATGTAGTTGGAATGACTTGACAAAGCTTTGAATACGGACAGCTGACTTGAGTGATGTTGATGTTTGTGGTTGTGGTAAATGTAATCACGTATGATATTTGTGTCTAATATATATGTATATATATATATATATATATATTGCCCGTAGAGTGTTGTTCAGTGTGTCGCGGTCTCTGTCACTTGTTGCTGACTGAGAGGAGTGTTGTTCCCGGAGATGCATTGTTTCAGTATGGTGTGTTTGTTTTGATTTGAGGATTAGGTGTTGTGAATAGTATTAGTACATTGAGATTTGTGGAATGATGGTAATCTGTGTTTGTGTGATGTGTGTTCTACCTGATAGATGTTGTTGATTTAGCGCTATGCAATTGCCCGAGTTGCGTATGATGTTGTATATTGTCTACTGAATTGATGTGAAGTAGTATATGTGGTTGGTGTTTTTGAATCTTGTAATTGATGTTTGCGTGTGCATTTTTTTATTTGATGGTGATTTTTGTTGAGAATTGGTTTGTCGTTATAAATGTTCATGTAGTGAGAGTGTAATATGGTGATGCGAATGGTTGTGTATGTTGTTAGTGTGAAATGTTTGCTAATTGATGATTGAGTGTAATGTGTTGAAGAATAATAGGTATGTTATTGTTGAATAGTGTGCTTAAACTTACTTGGCGCCGGGACCAGGGTGATCACGAATGCCCTGGCCCCAGGTGGAGGCTCGCCATTGCACTCCGGCGTGTTGAAGCCTGCGACGATCCCTAATCGGGCTCGCTCGGACGCGTAGTTTTTGTCAGTGGGGAGGTCTTCGGATCATCCCTTTGAATAACAATATAGTTCCCTCTCAACTCAACTACTACCAACCACACGCAAATCTAACACCAACATCTACCACACCATACACATATTCAAACGAAACAGAAAGCACCAAACTATCGCTCGAATAAACTCACCTTCACACTATTCATACACTCTACTTTCATCCCACAATATAACGACCCATCAATCATCCATAAACAGACAACAATTGCCTTCACAAATACATCATACACAAATAAATACTTACACCATTTCACTCATTCCATAAACACCAGCTCTTACACAACCCAACAGATAGACACTGGTTCACTGGTGCTACTTCGCACTAACAAACACCATGACATTGTCATTCTTCGTGCACATTTTCATCTAGCGAACTTCACACTGATCTAGTTGACTAAATAAGTTCATATGCTTGGTCATGGTTGCGTTGTGATTGTGATGGGACTATTACATTCGAAGGTAATTATCCTGTGTCACAATGTATATGTGTATATATGGGTCGTTCGTAATTCAACATTGTTAGTGGGTGTGCCTGAGTCCTCTGAATAGTGGTTGTGCAGCTACAAGGGAATAAGTAGACAAGTGTGTGGTAATGCGATGTAGTTGGAATGACTTGACAAAGCTTTGAATACGGACAGCTGACTTGAGTGATGTTGATGTTTGTGGTTGTGGTAAATGTAATCACGTATGATATTTGTGTCTAATATATATGTATATATATATATATATATATTGCCCGTAGAGTGTTGTTCAGTGTGTCGCGGTCTCTGTCACTTGTTGCTGACTGAGAGGAGTGTTGTTCCCGGAGATGCATTGTTTCAGTATGGTGTGTTTGTTTTGATTTGAGGATTAGGTGTTGTGAATAGTATTAGTACATTGAGATTTGTGGAATGATGGTAATCTGTGTTTGTGTGATGTGTGTTCTACCTGATAGATGTTGTTGATTTAGCGCTATGCAATTGCCCGAGTTGCGTATGATGTTGTATATTGTCTACTGAATTGATGTGAAGTAGTATATGTGGTTGGTGTTTTTGAATCTTGTAATTGATGTTTGCGTGTGCATTTTTTTATTTGATGGTGATTTTTGTTGAGAATTGGTTTGTCGTTATAAATGTTCATGTAGTGAGAGTGTAATATGGTGATGCGAATGGTTGTGTATGTTGTTAGTGTGAAATGTTTGCTAATTGATGATTGAGTGTAATGTGTTGAAGAATAATAGGTATGTTATTGTTGAATAGTGTGCTTAAACTTACTTGGCGCCGGGACCAGGGTGATCACGAATGCCCTGGCCCCAGGTGGAGGCTCGCCATTGCACTCCGGCGTGTTGAAGCCTGCGACGATCCCTAATCGGGCTCGCTCGGACGCGTAGTTTTTGTCAGTGGGGAGGTCTTCGGATCATCCCTTTGAATAACAATATAGTTCCCTCTCAACTCAACTACTACCAACCACACGCAAATCTAACACCAACATCTACCACACCATACACATATTCAAACGAAACAGAAAGCACCAAACTATCGCTCGAATAAACTCACCTTCACACAATTCATACACTCTACTTTCATCCCACAATATAACGACCCATCAATCATCCATAAACAGACAACAATTGCCTTCACAAATACATCATACACAAATAAATACTTACACCATTTCACTCATTCCATAAACACCAGCTCTTACACAACCCAACAGATAGACACTGGTTCACTGGTGCTACTTCGCACTAACAAACACCATGACATTGTCATTCTTCGTGCACAT